TGTTTGCAAATTTGCTCCATGTATGCAACCGTACATTTACACGAAATAAGTTGTAGTACACTTGTACGGATTGTGGTCCTCGCGTAAAGAGTATTGTAATAGGCTACAATGAGCCCTTGATTTTCTTCCATCCCCACTGTTCGGTATTGTTGGTACTACCATTGACTAATACTCCCCCCATAGACAGCTCATCAATGTAGACAAATAAAATGGTGTTTTTTGATATAAGCACCAGAGTGCGCCAATGACGAATAAATTGTGTATAATACTAGGCACACGTTGAGAATTTAAATTTTACTTCTTTGTCGAATACGTAAAACGGTAGGTCTTTGATTAACACAATAAGCTATACATTGACTGTATGGAAGAGATAAGATAATCGCGAATTAGAGATTTATTGTCGGCAGTATTTGTCGGCTTCTTTTTTATTATTTTAAAGGCGGACTTTTTTTTATTTTGCGAAATTATAAATTTCTCTTGAACTCTATTCCTAGTTTAGGTTTAGTCTCAATCTTTCAACCAGCTGTATGCTATTTCGTTGTGACTGATTTGAATTACAATGTCAGGAAATAAATGTGTATATGCTAAATGTATTCGTTCCCATATAAAGACACTGAAAGATGTGAAAAGTGGAAATTAAGAACAGGTGAGCTAAAACGCCCGACAACGATATATTTTCTTTCCTTTTATTGGAACCGCGGGAGTTTTTTTGGTATTCCGTATTGGCATTGAATAAGTCCTATGATTACTTATTCAATGGTATTGGCCATTTTTAAAAAATTAAGTTTTATTCGTCTAAATAAAATGTTCCACCCTTATAAAAAATTAATTGTTTCAAAAATTATTGTACTCGGCCAACTTCACGCAGTGGCGAACTTTTTCATAAACGATTTTTATATAAGAAATATTCGCCGCTCTACGTGAGTTGATATCGCGTGTAGTTTTGAAATAACTCATTTTCTCTCACGGTAAGTATACAAAATGTTATTTTAACGGTTCTAACGGCTTAATTTCTGCATGATAAACTTCATTTATGAAAAAGTCCGTGATTCTCTGAAGTTGGCGGGATACTATAATTTCTGAAATAACTACAAAATTCAAGACTTAATGTGTCTATAGGAAACCCAGAACTGTTGAACTTTGAACCAGGGGAATTAAAATCGAAATTTTTGTGTGAAGAACATTTTTCAAGAAATAGCTTTGTCAATGAATCGAAACACCGATTGATACATAATGCAGGTCCACAGAAATTTTATTGTGCAATTTGCAATTTTATTGTTTTTGCACAAGAAAACTGTGGAAATCTAGAGAAATTCGGATGGAAGCAGATAGGAAGAAACGTATGAAAAGACCCGGCAAATTAACAATTTTACGCCATGAATGAAATAAAAATGCATAAATTTCTTTCACTTGTTTTATTTACCGACTGCACATCACTCGACTTGCAAACACCGACATATGATACCTATTGAGATAACGCGCCGAAGAAATAAGTTGACCTTCAAAATAATAATATACAATTAGGTTCTATGTTGCATTGGGCAACTTTAGTTGTGGTATCTAAAAGAATAATTGTATCGCGGCGACACCTGTTACTTATATCAATAATAAATTTTACTGACGACGTTATTATGTTTGAAGTAGCTGTCTATGGGGGGAGTATTAGTCAATGGTACTACGAAGCCATATCTGAATTTGGCAGAATACTCGTGAGTAATGCTGAGCAGCGGCCACTCAAGTTAGTGGTAATAAGTCGGCCCTGATTTTTGCTTTTGCAGCGATTTTTTTAAATTGGTAAAACCTATATGAATTAACGGCAACTTTCAAATTTTCTTCTCACTGTATACCATCAGAAAATGGGGTTCACCAGCTTCTTTTACTTCTGATAAGGTTGAAATGTTGGTCATGGAAGGTTCTCACTATAGCCAATTGCATTTTGTTTTGCAAGAGTTTGAAAAATGGTAATTTTTGTTTCTGAAACATACAATATGTGATATCACTATTGCAAAAATGTTCTTTTTAGTTTTGTCTTTGTCTGACTTTATCTTTATATTTTTGGGTGTTATAGGCAAGAGAACAAGGACGTCAACATCGACGCCGACTACACGCATGTTCGTCCATTGTTAAACATTTCTATTGCGTCATACTTTCATTAGACAAACCGATACAACAAAATATGGAATGATCCTCAGGATTACCATCACCTTTTTAACGACCATTTATTTTTATCTTGGAGATACATATAGTCAACAAAAATGCATCAATTCATGTCTTGGGCATTGAGATAATGCTGTTAGTGTTTTTCCAAACGATCTTTGTGCATAAATAACGATTTTGAAAACTTGGATGGAGATACATATGGTCCCCAAAAAATGCATTAAATTCATGTCTTGGCCATTGAGATAATGTTCTTGGCCTTTTTCACAACGATTCCGGTACAAGAATAACAACTTTGATATGTTTTGAGCAGAACACGTCATAAACAGTAGAATTTTTTGTTGTTCTTATTTCGCTGGTGCCTTTAAACACTGAAAGTGGATACGGAGCAAGTTCATACTTGAAGAATTCCGCGAGATCATCCTATTGGTTCTGCGTATACGATAAAAATCCGATCCGGGAAAACTTTACTGTGTGAACGAGCCGTTACGGCAGGTGGGCCAGCGGCGCGAGGGTTTTAAAACCTTCATTTTGGGCTGAGCACACTATGTAACGCTATAGGGACTCGTCGAATTCTTAAACAGAATATATTTACGTATAAGTATACAAAGTTACAAAGACTTCGCAATTTTCTTGGATATATGACGAATTTGGATACAATTTGACTGTACTAAAAACAGATAATTTTGCAGGGTTGTTGCTAATTTTATGATTTTTCTTTTTCCCAAAAGTTACCTGGCTTGCCTAGCTTAATTGAAATCAAGCATGTTAAGCTTTTTTAGTAGTGATTCTAATTCAAATGATGATGGTAACATGATTATTTGCTAATAAACGCTGGTTATAGTATCGTTTGTATAAAAGCTTCCATTTACCGATACAATCAGAACTTACATGCGTGATCAACTCAGAGACATGGAGAGCCATGTCTCTGGATCAACTGTTCTTTTCGCGCGCTTTAGTTTCAAACTAGTGAATCAACCCGGGTGGTGTGGGAAGAAGAACACCATAAACAAGTACCTGTAGTGTACTTAATCCCCAGGGTCTACGCCAACTTCACACTACAACAACAGGGAAATAAAATCAACCTGACAACGTTTGAAAATAGCCACCCGAATGGCTATTCCTTCCATAAATTAAACAGATCTCGTTTAATTTTAAAATCGAAAAGCACTGAATGGCTATTCCCTCAATTGTGGGTGCTTTTTATACTATTTTACTCACAACTGATCAGTTAAAATAATGTCTGTTGTTGTTGCTATTACTTGGTTTCTGTAATTACAAATTAAAATAATGGAATATTTGAATGGCATTTGACACATGCTGGCCGAGAAAGTACTTTCTAGGTTAAGGTCAGTAAATAGTTGCTTCGCGAAATTCGTTTCCAATATATTATTCGGAAAAGGAAAAATTCCAGATAAAGAGATAATGAGAGGAAATTTTCAAGGGTGGGTTGTGGGCCGTATGAAAATTGTTTCCCCATTCACCCCTCGACATTTTTTTCGCTATTTCTTTACATTATTTTACATTTTGAGTATATTTCCACTCACCACTTTAAAAATGCTAACGATTAAAATGATCAAAATACATTTTTACAGTTATTATGTACCTAATATTGGGAAAAATCTGTGATCTATTTTAATTACTAATTGAACAATTCCTATGGTTTAGATTAGACGAACCACCTCGAAGTCTTTAAACTAAAAAGGGGGTCGTGTGGCACCTTATTTGAAAGGTATTTTAATTCGCCCTTTGGCAATTTACAGTTTTTTTGTGATATGTTGAAATCGTAACTGAGAAAATTAATTTTCCAGATGTAACATTGTGATGGTGTCTCCATCACAAAGCTCTACGTAGAATACAGCGACTTATTATCTCTAGTACATTCATTTATGGGTAGAATTGAAGAAAGGGGAAAGCGTTGGTTAGTGAGATAAATCGGAAAACTAATCGCTGAAAATTAAGCTCGTTTATAATGCTTTCTGACTTTGTAGAAATTAGTCTTCAATCCCATTATTATTATTGCAAACCAGTCGAAAAACTAAGTTACCTGGGTTCATGTTTGTTAATAGTTACGCAATATATCACTTAAAAAGAGAACGTTTCAGGAACGTGACGACCAGGCCCCGGGCTATGTTTTTAGCGCTCTGGGCTACATTCAGCTCGGCTCCCCCGTAACTAATGTTTATAACAGTTAAATTGCGTACTTAGTGACTTAGTGTTAATTTTGGAACAAAATGAAATGAAGAACCACAGACGAGAGGAATGTCCCACTGCCAGAAATAAGCAGCTTTTTATTGCAAGCCGTGAATGATCTAAATTGCAAATAATTAAAAAAATTGAATTTATTGCATCTTGCTGCCCCCCTGAAAGTGGCGCCCTGGGCTATAGCCCAGTTAGCCCATTTATAACCCGGGGCTTGTTGACGACATTCCAAAGGTATAATAATAAAAACAAGTCATTTGAAGTGCCTCTAAACATTAGAATTTGAGTCCGAGAAACAGCTAATCCTATTCAGGTGATAACAAAATGTGCATCATGATCTTTAGGTGTAACAAAAAATAAATGACGCGATAATTCTATGTAAATAAGAAACCCTTCAGAAGCTATAATTAAATATTATTCTCCTAATTTATATACCTCACATATTAATAGTATTCTTATCTGACCTACTGTTTCATGTGCTTAATAACAGCGAAAAATTCAAGTAGTCAGCACCAGATCACCTTTTAACCTAAAAGCTTTTGGCAGCGAATGATAAAGTAATATATGTTAGAATATCCATCCACTAACCCTTCTGGCAGGTACACTCACATACAAAAATCGTTTTATTATAATAACCGTATTTGTAAACTTATACATTTTTTATGTAAAACTACCACTAGTATGTAAAGTCGTTAAATCTAATGTTAAAATTACTGTTGTCGTTACAGTTGCCGAATTCGTTTAAATTGCCGGTACCGTAGCTGTATCCCGTCTGATATTGATTCGTTAGGCAATATCCGGACGTCGAGCTGGAGACGTTGGTGTTTATCGGCAACTTCGATTTTTCTTGGTCGATGCCTTTTTCCAATTTCTGCCTTTTGCACTTGTAGCGTCGGTTTTGGAACCAAATTTTGACCTGTGTCGATGTCAGTTTCAATCCTTGAGCCATTTGTTCACGTTCCGGTGCGGAAAGGTACTTTTGCTGCTTAAAACGGCGTTCCAGTTCGTATACCTGAGCTTGACTGAAAAGTACACGCGGTTTTCGCTTTGTCCGCTGACGGTGCGATTTGCGGAGTTCTGTTTTTGAACTTGTTACTTGCTGGTGTTCTGAAATAAGAAACGAACGTTATTGATTCGGCAAAATTGAAATTGTAGCTTTTTGACGTGAAAAAATATTCACTTTTTCATACTTCACTTACGCAAAGAAGTAGGTACTTGAGGTTTTATTATGAATAATAAATTTTTTGCGCATCTACATAAAGTATAGGTGGTCCAAATGACCGTACTTCAAGGAAAAATGCAATTATCGGAGATTTTCAGATACAGTGAAAAAGACGAAATGAAAAGAAATTATGCGTGAGTTAACCGGCAGAAGATGAGTACTCCTGGGGGTCGAGAAACGCCAACAGACGGGGACCGAAGTAGGGGAGAAGATGGCAACCTCTGAAACCCAAGGCTCATAACAACCAACAGGAGGCCACATGGGATAGCAGGAAGTTAAACGTGGAAAAGTTCCCGGAAAAGAAAACACGCTTATTACGTACGCCGTCTGAGCTGGAGCAACTGCTTACAAAATGAGCAGACGGGTTAGGAAAGGAGTCACATATTGGTGATGAAAATATGTGTGGAGGCCTGGAGGTGGGCTATTAGAGCAACGAGGAAAGGCAAAGACGACCAAGTTTTAGAAGAGGAGCATCGTGATAGGAAAAGGGTGTATAAAACGATGATAGAAGTAAAGAAAAGGCGTGGTTGGAAGAATCTATGCCAGGAATTGGACGGAGACGAGTGGGGTCAAGCGTATTAGATAGCAGGGAAGCTTGGGGGTAAGGAGAGAGTGGTCGGTAAAGATGAAAAGATAATTGAAAAACTTAAGGCGCTTTTCCCGTGAGTACGAAAGAAAGATAAGGAAAGACCAAGTCTCAAAGGCAGACTGTACACAACCAAGAAATTATCCAGACTGCAAAAAAAATGCAAAAATGAAAAACGTCGGGCCCAGATGGTTTCTCGCTGAATTAGCAGATTTACTAGGTAAGGCCGCCCTGGACGTACTGCGAAATGTTTTAGATAACCTCGTAAATATAGGGGACAGCCCTTAAATATGGAAGAGGGCAATTATAGTCCTCACCTAATACCAAAAAAGGAGTCAAATTCGGTCCCTGCTCAGGTGATCGTCTCACGAACAGAATAGTGCGAGCTAGGTTACGTTCAGAAGCAAAATTTACACTGCGGATTCACTGAGGGGTACCAAAAGGTTCGGTTCTGGGGTCACTTTTATGAAACATGGCTTATTACGTTGTGCTGAAGCAATAAGCAATATTAGAGACGCATGAAGTCGCGAGGAGGACAAAAAGCTGGATGGAAGAAAAGGGCCTAGAATTGGTAGGTGCTAAAACTAACTCTACACTGATGGCCGGAAGGAGGAGGCCTCTCCCTGCCAGCTTACGGGTGAGAACAGTTGAGATCCCGCTAGAAAAGACATACTAGGAGTCAGACTGGATAGAAGCCTGGAATATACGAGACATATAGAAAAGGCAGAGAAAGCAAGTACGAGCCTACAACAATTATTCTATAATTTTGGTGGCTAACAGGAGAGCAAAAGGCGGTTCCTGGCATCGTTAACAACGTGGTACTGCACGGGAGCGAAATATGGTTACAAAATTTAAATGTACTAAAAGCAACCTAGGCAAACTGCAGAGGAAGATAGCGCTGAGTACGGGCATATCGCACAGTATCCAATAAAGTCTGTATTATCCAGCACTATACCCTTAAAATTGTTGGTAGAGGAGAAAAGTATAGACAGAACGAGGAGAGAAACATTAGAAGAATGATAAAGAGAATAGAAAACAAGACAGTCATGGACCAAAACGCTCATTCAAGATGTGATGACGTGAACAAAACGTAGACAAGCGGAGGTATCGTATGAACTCACTCAATTCCTCACAGTCCACGTAGACATCGGGACCTATCTGTACATATCACAAAGCGAGGTAGAGACTGGGAGGGGCACGCGGTGTTAGAGTGCCCACGATGGGATGCGCCTAGATGGCAGCTTACCATGGAGTGGAAGTAACGAACATAGTTCCATTGATGCTACAATGCCCAGACAAATGGAAAGCTCGACTGATGTATTGCTCCATCGTGGTTTTTAAAACGTGTTGTGTAATGAGAAAGGGGTTTAAAGAAATTCTTTTTAACACGTTTTTGTATTTGTCTTTTTAACACGTTTCGCAATCGATAGCCGCACAAGACAAATACAAAAACGTGTTAAAAAGAATTTTTTTGAACCCCTTCCTCAAATAGAAAGCTGTTCAAAATTATATCCAAATGGTTGAAGGAACCAGATAAAGAGAGGACGCGGCAGTTCAAGCGGTGGAGCCGATTTAAAGATAAATATAGCAAAGAGCAACAATAAGGAAGTAAGGTTTTATACCCAGATAAATGCGAGATGTGATGTTGTGTTGTTCTCTTCTAGGAATGTCGAAAAAATGAGTATACAAAGATAACTACTTTATACATAACCTTCGTTTAGGGTTGCACTATCCTAGAGTAGGAATTTCAGAAACATTTTTATTCAGAAGTCCAAAAACCTAAGTAAAACTCAATTTTTATGTTGTGGTTTCTAAAAAATTAAAGAAAGAACGCTGGAACCTTTGGGAGCCGATGAGATTTATATAAGAAAAATGCTTGCTTTGATTCCTTCACTACTTTTTTTGCATGCCTAGTTCTTACTCTCTAGAGTTGCAGAGAATGCGCAGTAGATCATAAAATAAATGCGGTTAAATGATCAGTTTCCTGATGAGTGACCGTCACAGAAATCCCCCTTGCACTATCTCTCTCTCGGCGCGCTACGTGCCTATGGCAGAGACCGCTAGTGCCCGTTCCAGTATAATTATAGTTCAGTGGTGGGGCCAGATAAAGGTCCAAAATGTATCGTTTGACAACCTGAAAGCCTCTGAATTTGCGCTTCTACAATTTCTTTCTTAGGACCCATAACAGGTAAAGTGATGGAATGTGCGGCTTTACATAAATTTTTGGGTTTGCCCTTTATGATTTTGTGAATATATGTCCAAAACACTATTCCCTAAGATAATACACCCATATAATAGGGGGCGCGAAAAAATCCGATCTCGACGAAATTTGGTATCTGGGAGTTTTTCAACATGAATCCAAGACGACTAGTTTTGGCGGGTATACTCGGTATGTATTGAGGAACAAAACTGTCGAACCGTTTTTTTCCATGTATGTGCAAATCTTTCCCACGAAAGTTTATTATACAGTTTCCGATCTAGAATAAGAATATTCAATAAAAGTACCTATAGTATTTCAAAAAATTAAGTTGCTCTACACTTGACCCGTAAGAGACCCTTCATATGAAAAATACTTTATATAAATCATGTTTTGATATTCCCGCTAGTTTCCGCAATAATCGACTGTCTAAAGATAAATAGAACACCATGTATATAAATTAATTAAGTGACACTCAAACATAAGATTATGAAACTGGCAGTCGCAACTCACAAAAGAAATGACCGCTACGCCCCATTTAGTCTCGATTATGCTGATGCCATTAAACTCCAAACCCCTGAAACCGAATTATAGAAGCGTCTAAAAATCGTCCCTTTTGTATTGGTTTCATTAATTACTTTTTAAATTAACCGAGATCATGGGCAAATCACACCTACTTGAAGACTTTCGTAAGATCACCAGGTTAACGCATTTTGTTTCAATTTCATTTGTGAGGATATTCGTACATTTTTAGCACAAGTAATCAATGTGGTTTTTGACAAGGTGGTGAGACAACAAGATACGAAAAGTCGCATACGATTTGCAAATTTCAGTATTAAATTTTTGACACTCGCAGTTCGCATTCGGAAACACGACTTCTAATTCGGCTCATATTCAATAGCACCGATCCTTGAACTCGTAGAAATCGATTGGCGATGTCGCTGTCTCTTTTTTGAGGGGTGTACAAACCATGGACCCTTTCCGAAGATATATGATTTATTATTTCATTATTATATTATTTGATCCACATGCACTTCCATTATTAAAATTGTCAGGTTGGGTCTGGGTCTCTCATACGACCATTTGGTAGCTGCAATGTAGGAAAATACATGGTAGTTCAAATTCGTGGCGATCCAATGGGATCCCTGTAACGGTGAGAGATACAGTGTAAGGTTAAATGGAGGCAGAGTTGCCACTTTTTGTGACAAGAAACTGCATTTCAAATTGTTGAAATAAATGAGATATCACCGAAAAACTTGAAAATGTCTTTTTCATTTTCCCTATCTTAAACGGTCGGAAATGAACGGTTCCCGTTCGCACCTTCTATGGGCACTTTTTTCGGAGAATCTGAATCTGTGATCAGAATTTCCAAAACACGCCATTATAGCCATGGTGATTCAGAAAGATCTAGTTACCCGTGGATATTTTGTTGAGAAATGAATGTAAAACATGATCTTGTAAATTTGTGCGACCCGTCATTATTTTTCTTATTCCGTAAAATACCAATATGGCGCTCATAAGAAATAAGAAAGTGGTATAGCCTGCCTGAAACCGGCCATTTATACCGTTTAAGCTAGGGAAATATAAACGAAATTTGACAATTTCAGTTTTTCGGTGATCCGTCAGTGATTTTCAAAGAGTTTTCAAAATTTTCAAATGCGTTTTTTTTAGTCACAAAAAGGAGCAACTTTGCCCCTATTTAAACAACACTGTACCTCTCACCGTTACAGAGATCCCAATGGCCAAATTCAGCACTAAGCCTCTAAGTCGACATCAAAGTCATCATGGACCAAACATTTATTGTTATATAATCGGCTTGTCACTAATATCACGTGAAATTAAGGATTAAGAATTAAGTAATAATTGGTGAAGGTTGATATTATGAACTTAAAATATTATGGTCTTTGATGACTGTATTGTAGCAACGTACATAGCGGTCAAAAATGAGTGACCGTCGAATCACATTAGGAATTTTTGTTTACATGGGAAACCGTGCTTAACTCGAACTTCTAAAAACAATTCGACAGTCACTCGATACTGTCCAAAAAAGTATAATAATACACATGTAAAAATACGTATTAGGCACATGGTGTTGCCTACTTTGTACTCTGTAAAGCAACAATAGTAAATGAATATAAATATGAATACAGATGACAGCTCCCAAAATGGTACATATAGAACCGTGATGTTTTTTTTGCACGGGTTCTGTTCTGATCATTTAACAGAGAAATCCTTTTATCAATGAATATAAGATAAGACAACATTTAACCAGTTTTGCTTATCTTTAATAAGTTTTTTTACTTGTAAGTGTAAAACACCCCAGAAATATTTAAAAAAGAGTTTGCATGTCTATTTCAGAAGTCGCAAATATCTATTATTTGTTGCGACCTATTTATAAGCAAATTTGTTACAAGGTTTCGTAGCAAAAAATGTTTATCAGGTCACCATGCCAATGTAGCAATTAATGTTGCTCCAAAGTTTTGGTCCTAGAATGGATATTATACTTACTTGGACTTTCCATTCCGGTAAATTCGCTCTCCTTACTTCTATCTTGATATGGTATGCACAAATTACTTAATTGTTGAACGTGAGAAGGGGCTGCGTATGAAGTGTCACAAACGAAATTTTTGTTCGCGTAATTTGGTTCGCACTTAATGTTCGTTTCGGACGGATTATAAAAGTTATAATTGTAATGATCGTAAGTTGGCACCACGTAGTTATTATCCCAATGGGGCTGTTGCGAAAAAGAGTTAAACTCCTCATACTGCCCATACTCATTTTTAATACTGTTTAAACTCGCAAAATTCAAACTAGAACATCCAAAGTCAGTGTCACTCGAAATATTTAAATTTAAAATATCTTTCACCGAAAACGGCGTCGTTAGACAGCTAGAGTTCGTCGTCGTGTCACAATTTTCGAAATTATCACCACTATGAAACGTCGGGTCCATCATTGTTCTTGATAATACGAAATTAAACGCACGCAAAATAATGCACGCACCACCGCACCGCGCGAGAAATCATATGCATTAAATTGTCTTTAAGAGCTAATCAGGATATTATAACAACCAAACGGTTCAAAAATCCCTATAAGTAGCACGAAATTCGTAGGCTCCTAAAGTTTACTTTTAATAGAGCTCGAATTTGTTAATCGATGGTCAGTACCGAAACGTGGGGGCGCATATTAGACCGTAAAACGTTATTATGTAGAGCTTTCGGTGTTGTTTGACGTGCACTAAAAGCACGCCTTTCCTCCAATCAGAGCACTGCTTATGTTAATATTGAGATACGAAATTGATTGTAACTTAATGCTATAATTGATTGATTTCTAATTTGGAGGTTTCGATTAAATTATTTAGGTAAATTGTCCAACTTTGGAATCTTAAAAGAAAAGTTTGACTGTGGATATCAAATTTCCAACGTTCTACTTTGTGTGTTTTGCATTTAGTTTTACAGTAACCATTTGTTTATTTTTGGTGGATTTGAATTTTTTTCAAATGATATTATTACTTATTACACAAATATGCCTTCATTTTCGGCTCGCCCGTACTGGGATTGTGGTGGTCATCTGGTTTATGTAAAATCGAGCGCCTCACACACGCTGGGAACAGAGTCTTGGCGCCACCTTACATGATTTCAGTCCGCCAAGCACGATATTGTGGGTACATGTGCATACAAAGAATGTTTTATTTTCCGTTTGAACCGAGTGTTTTATAATAATTAGAGGGAATTAGGTTAATCTCGAGTACGGTATTAAGCACCTTACTTTTTTGTATGCCTTTCAGAGGGTAATATCAATAGGTACACTCCACCTGTTTGTCGTCATTTTCAATTTTTTTAATGCAAGTCTTATGGACGAAAACATTACGGTCTTCCTTACGTACTGTAAATCTCTTTTCATCGTTCATCTTGATCGCAGCAGTATCACAGTTAAGTGTTACAAAGCTGCTCGTCAGAAAATTGTTCTCTCTTTAATTCAATAAAAAGAATAACCCTCTCAAAAAAATAGGTATCCAAGAGATCAAACCCTTGTGTAGCGTATCTACATATTTAAACATCCAGATCTTCCTACGAAATGTGTTGGAACACAAACACATTTTTCGAAATTGGTTCAAACTGTTTCGTTGGAGAGCTATACGTATCTCTGCCTACACTGAAGATGCACACGTAAAAATGGTAAACAACAGGGACTCCGATATCTGATGCATGCAATTTTGAATATGAACATATAGTATCGTAAGATTACAAATTATTAATTTATTGTGACCACAGGTGAGGTTCTTGAAGTGTCGCGACCTTTGGTCATAAATAAAGCCAAAGAATTAGCTCCTTCCGTATTTAGATCATATTTAGGAATAGGAACACCCTGTATACGTATACGTTAACACAAAACCTTATACCTACGTTCCAAAACTTACATTATATACAAATGCGCTTTTATCCATAAGAGAATTCAGAAAAATTAATCTCGCAAAGGAGAGTATAGTGAGGTATTCGCAAATGCTCATCTTTCATTTTAAAAAACTGCTCTTTTTACTTTCTTCGTCTCAAATATTATGCCGCATTCCGCATCACTATTGCAAACAGAAAAGTCACTGGACTTTTCTTAGTGAAATTAGTTAGTTTACTGTGGTTTTGTCTTTCTAGAGTCGTTGACAAAAATGAATGGCAGGATGAATCGAATCATTTTTTTTAGATAAACCAAGGTCATGAAATGCTTTATTTTGTATCAGCGTATTAAGCAAATCATTGTCAATTGCATGCACAAAACCAAATTCTGAAACTGGCGCTGAATTTGCTTTTATTTCAAGTGCCTATGTATCACATCTCAGCATCCAACAACAATTACCTACTGATACCTTTTTCTTATACCCTGTATCAATCCTAGATGCTGTGAATTTATTATGTGACTCATTCTGTACGGATTATTACGGAACAGTAAATTAATTTTGTCATAACTTACTACTAATCTACTATATTTAGTGACGTGTCAAAATCTATATTATGTTATACAGACAAATGAAGATTCATTGATTTATTTTGGCGATTATCAGTAGAAACACATTTCCACACTTTTCGTAGGAGAAGAACTTTGCTTCATTTTCAGGAATACTTTGTTTTGCGAGAGAACACCGTCCCTTTCTCTCACTAATGTTATTCCTATGAACTCGAGAATAGCCGTCCTGACCAGAATTCAGAAATAAAACACCTTTGGATAGACAACGTCATAAAGTAAAACTAACCCTGCCCAAACTGTGTAAGGACGCATCTTGCACCATTTTAAATTTCCGCTAAAGAAGATTGCATTAGAATTTCTGTAGCTAGAGCCACTTTGAGTTCAGCTAGCGCTATCATATTTAGCAAAAAACCCTTGACTTTCGAAAGGTGCTATGGTAAAATAGAACCACAATCACTTCCAAAAGCAAGCGCTATGTTCGTCAGACCTAGTACTACAGATATTCTGCATAAATAGCTCAAGATTGCGCCAAAATTGGAAGAGCTAGCGCCACCAACAAGTAGTGTACGAGCAATCTTTCCTATCTCTTCTGATCTAGTATCACTGAAATTATGTTTTGTTTATTTATTCATTTTTCTTATCCTTCTCTCGTTCTGGGCCCTCACCAGGCTTGTGCACAATTACAGATTGACCCGTATAAAGCTTTTTAGAGGTGCCCCTTAAGTTGTTCTACACCACTCCTGTATTTACCTTACGAATTAGGGAAACTGCAGGAAAATCTAATTCGGAGTAGCCGGCTGAATGCTCGAAACTGATCTCGGGAAATTCTTACCTCAGCCCGGGTTCGAACACCCGACCTCCGGCGATGTAGCCCAACGCTCTAGGAATGTTGGGAAAAGTTTTAGACATTAAAGTTATGCAGTGCGTTTGAAATAAGAGAGTTACCTCAATATCTCTTTTATTTGGCGAAACATTTTTAGTCTAGTTCCAGTTTTTAAAGTCGCCGCCAGGAGGAGATGACCTTCAGGAGTTTTTAAAATCGTCTTATTGGATTTTACATGGAGTTGAGTTAGTATCGGCTGCTAGAGAAAGTTGATCTCAGTGGAGGGAGGAGATGCAAGCTTTGTAATTTGGGTGCTAGATCAGTAGGACGCAAAACGCCAAAATTCATTAGAAAAAACTAACGCGCTAAGCCAGCGGGGAAAAAAACGTCATCATCCACACACTATTTGGATGGTACTGGATGTTAGCAATGTAGCGCTGCTGGCTCGATAAAGTTGTGGCTTATTTTCGGAAGCAATAAGATTACACTACCCTTAAAATGGTACTTCGCGAAAATAAATGCCTTTTTTTACAAAATCTATAATAATCCAGATTGTATTTTTACCAGGAAAGTTGTGGGGTAGTTTTGATTTATTTGATTCTATAGGTTTTTTGGGGTGCTGAATCCGAATCTGAGGTTTGCTAACAAACTTGACGCAACATTGAAAAAAATACAAAAAAAGTTGAAAAAGAGATTTTTTTGCCAGTTTATTTCTATATATTTCTACTGTCTCCACAAAACATAGTTTTTTCGCACTTTCGCACTATTATTTGAATTTTATATGTAAGGGTGATTTTTTCTCATTTATATAACGTTCAAGGTGTTCCAGGTGTAGTCCAGAATTGTATCAAAAGTTAATTTCTAACGAACAACACTATATCATATTATTATATTATTTATAATATATAATACTTATACTGTGCCATCTAAAACTATTCCCACTCTCTTCCGAACCAGATAAAGAAATCACAAAACCCTACCAAGGCAAGGTTCCATAAGTGGACCTCTTTTATTTTTAATTTATGTAAATGACATCTACATGTCAGACCGGAATAGTATCTTCACGCTGTATGCCGATGATACAACCATCACAGTTACATCCACTGATCCTACTAAAAGTGAGGAACAAATTAATAATTCACTAACCGCGGTAAAAATGTGGACTACTGCCAATCGATTGGTAATAAACGATAGTAAGACACAAAAAATTCAATTTTCCTTAAGAAATATTGGTAGAAAAGACATAGCCTCCATTAATTTTCTAGGGGTGCAGATCGATGCCAGGCTTTCCTGGAGACAGCACGAAAATAAAGTTTGTGCAAAATTGGCATCTGTTGCGTATATGCTAAAACATTTGTCAAATTCAGTTTCTGTGAAGGTTCTAAAGTGCGTTTATTATAGCTTTGCACATTCTATCATTCGTTACGCCATCATTGCCTGGGGTCATTCTACAGCAATGAAAAGAACGTTTGCCATGCAAAGGCGCTGTGTGCGGAATATTGTAAATGCTGGCTACAGGGAGGACTGTCGCAATATCTTTAAATCGTTGCAAATTCTAACAGCTCCATCACAATACATTTTTGACTCAGTTTTGTCCGTTCATAGAAATAAATCAAATTATATAACGCATAAAAATGTTCATTCTTACAATACTCGGAACAAAAATCAAATATATAATGATAGATTACGATTAAAAACGTCGCAAGCGGCACATAATTATTGGGGCCCTGTGTTGTATAACCGTTTACCTTCTTGTTTCCAATCTCTAAATGAACAACTCTTTTCCAAGAAACTTAAAACTTTTTTACGCGAAAATCCAATATATAACATCCAAGAGTTTTTAGATAACGACCTCAAGACTTTAACGCCTTAAGTTTTTTTTTGTTGTTTGTATTTTTTTTTTTGTTTAATTGTTTTATTTCTAAATGATTTTTCATGTTATTTAATATTGTTCTATATGTCTCATGTATTTTATGTTTATGTGTTATACGATTTCGACGGACGAGTGTAAGCATTTTTTAAATGTATTAACACAATAAATTACTTACTTACTTACTTACTTACTTACTACCTTAGCATGTTTGGATAATTATTGTTGAATTTGGGAAATTGGCGCTGTGGTCATTATTAATTCAAAAATTCCAATGGCAAAAGGGGGTATATTAATTTCCTATTCAACGGCATTATCTCTCTTGCTCCGGTGTTCTGAAGAATCACGTACTCCTCGGAGTGGGGTAACCCCAGCTTAAATTTGTCTGTTAA